ACATAAAGGTATTCCTAAGTCAAAATTGAATCTTCATTTCTTTGATAGATGACTTTCCTCATTTGATTCAAGCAGTTGAGTAAATTAGAAAAATTATGCCCTGATCTCAATTTGAAATATAATGATTTAGAGCTTCTGCTTAGGTTGATAGTTGCAACTAGATTTTTGGGCTGAGGTTATCGTTTTTTCTGCCTATGAATAAATTCTTTACTGCTCGAGATTTTATGGAGGTTAGGGGGATTGCACACTGTAGATGTAAAAAATATGTATATTATACAAACATTATTGAGTGAAAAAATATATAAAAAACATATGTGGTAAAGTTACCATATGACTCAGTAATTACACTCTTAGATAGGTACTCAGGAGAAATGAAAACAAATCTCCATAAAAATCTGTACATAAATGTTCATAGAAGCATTATTCATAACTGCCAAAAAGTGGAAACAACCCAAATGCCCATCAGCTGAGGAATAGATATATAAAATATGGTATATCCATGAAATGGAATAGTATTTGGCAATAAAAAAGAATGACATACTGATATATTACAAGATGGATGAACCTTGAAAACATTATGCTAAGTGAAAGAGGCCGGTTACAAAGGACCACATACTGTGTGATTTCGTTTATATGAAATACCCAGAATAGGTGAATCCCTTAAGACAGAACATAGATTAGTGGTTGCCGTGGGCGGAGTAAGAATAGGGGTGGATGGGGAGAGATGGATAGTGAGTGATAATGGACGTGGAGTTTCTTATAGGGGTGATGAAAATGTTCTAAAATTGATTATGGTAATGATTGCATAAGACTGAATATATTAAAAATCATTGACTTGTACACTTTAAATGGGTGAATAGTATGATATTCAGTTATACCTCAATAAAGCTGTTACAAAAATATATGCACAGAGAGGAGTATATACTAAAACATTAAAAGGGATTTTATTGATTTTTTTAATAGTCTTTTTCAAATGTTATCAATTACTTTTTTGGCTCAAAAGAAGTGTTACAAATTATTTAAAAACTATGTATTTCAAAAAAGATGTCTTAAATTCTTTTGGAAAGAATGCAGAATACAAATATAAAAATTATATCGTAAAAGATAATACATAAAAATCATAGAATATAATTTAAAATTAAAGTATAATATTCTGCATTATACATAATATCAGAATATAATATCAAAATTATATTGCTGGAGGGCAGGAATCTCTTCTCTCACCTTCGCATCCTCTCCCTGGCTGTTGATGCTACAACTCATTAGGGACTGGACTGAGCTTGTTGAATTGAGTGGAATGTTGGGTCTTATGGGTTAATGGGGCTTATGTTGGTATTTCTATAGGTAGATGCCTCCTTGTCTCTCGCAGTCTATATTTCTCTTGGGAAGGCCAAATGATGGTTCTTATTAGTATTCCCACTTGTAGGTAAAAAAATATAATTGGGATATAATTGGGATACTGAAACAGAAGGTCAAAGTGTTATCGTAGCCTCTGAATTAAGAATAATGGAAGTTTTTCAAATTTGTTTCCTTCATCATTTTAATTCTCTGGCAGTTGTGAATTGGACATGCACACTAGGCTAAAACATTAAAGTGATATTTGCAAGTAAAGTTGTTCTAAGTGAAACACAAATGCGTAACTGCAGAG